GACTATTAATGTTAGAAACAATCCTTTAGGGATGGGGAGGGGAGATGAGTTAGAAATGTTTCCTACCAGTTCACAATTGCATCTATTCTGAAGCCATTAGGAATGTGAATGGTAACTCTTCCTTAAACCATCACATGAGGAAAGAATACCCTGAAAGTGTGACACACCAAAGTCATCTGTCAGGAATCAGTCAGAGAACTTGCTGGGAATACCTAGGCATGCTGAGTCATCATTGTTCTTACCACCCGTGGCAACTGATGCAATTGGAAGCAACTGATGCTTTCAGGGTCATAGTTTCTTCGAAGCCTGAGCTCATTAATTTTGCTGTTTGAGAACTTGCAGTTTGATCCAAAAGCTGACAGCATCAATTATCCCATTGCCTTCCTTCCTGCTCTGATACTGGAAGTTCCAAGAAAAGAGGAGGTGGAAGAGGACCAAGAAGAACATGAAAGCAGAGGACCAGGGGCAGGACACGGTGGCTCACGCCTGTAATCCCAGCACTTTGGGAGGCCGAGGCAGGTGGATCAGTAGGTCGGGAGATCGAGACCATCCTGGCTAACACGGTGAAATCCCGTCTCTACTAAAAAATACAAAAAATTAGCCGGGGGTGGCGGCGTGCGCCTGTAGTTGCAGCTACTTGGGAGACTGAGGCAGGAGAATGGCGTGAACCTGGGAGGCGAAGCTTGCAGTGAGCCAAGATTGAGCCACTGCACTCCAGCATGGGCAACAGAGCAAGACTCCGTCTCAAAAAAAAAAAAAGCAGAGGACCAAGACCCCTTCCCAACTGCTCCACAGGTCAAAACGAAGTCAAACAGAGCAGAAGCTCTCAAAAGGATGATACTTTGAATTTGCTTTCTGTTTTATTTTCTACATATATAAAAGTGCACAAATCATAAATGTACAATATTCACCAAGTAAACACACCTCCAAGTCAAGAAATAAAATATTTCTAGTACTCCAGGAGCACTTCTTAAGTACCATCCATCCAGCCACGACCCCCATCCTCGCCCAAGGGAAATCACTCACTGATTTTTAACAGGACAGTTTGGTTGTAGCTGTTTTTAAAAACTATTTTATAAACCTTTAAAAGAATGTACCTTTTGTCTTCCTTCAATCAATATCGTGTTTATGAGACCCATTCGTCTATTATGTATTAGGGTCTGTTAATTCTTATTGCTATATAAATAGACCGTGGTTTATTTACTCATTCTTCTCTTAACAGACAACTTCCTGTTTGGGCTATTACAGATAGTACTCCTATGAACATTGTTGTGCATGTTTTATGGATGTATATGTGCATTTCTAAGTAAAACGTCTGAGTCACTGGAATTGTACATTTAACTTTAGGAGATATTGCTGAGCAGCTTTCCAAAGTTCACATTCGTAGCATATGAAAGTTTCAGTTGCTCCACACGCTTGGCAACATTTTGTCTTCTATCGTCTTTCATTTTATCCATTATGTTAATTTTATAGTGGTATTTCATTGTAGTTTTGATTTTCATTTCTGTAATGACTAATGAAGTTGAATATCTTTTTATATATTAAGGAGCCACTTGCATTTTCTCTTTTACGAAGTCCCTGTTCAAGTCATTGGCCCATTTTTTAGTTGGGTTGTCTGCCCCCCGCTTCTTTGGTCTTTTTTTCTCTTTTTTCTGTACATAATTTGACTACCTATTATACTCTGTCTTTCTTTTTTCTTCTACTTCTTCTTTTAGCTTTCTGAAAACCCCCCTTTCTCTTTATATTGTCAATACCATGAAGGCAAAATCAATGTTCTCATCTTAGTATCATTCTCAGGGCCTGACACTGTTTTTCTGAAAAACCTGCTCAAAAATACCCGTTGATTTGCATTAGGAGATTCTCTTCATCTGCTGAATTAGCCCAAGGTTCTTGTCCTAGCAGTTTTTAAATAGGATTTAAAATATGGTGAGAACCTCCTCTCCAGACATGTGGCAAAACCAGATTCAGCTCTGTGTGAGGAGACAACCTAAAGGATATGTTTTAAGTGTTAGGAGCCAAATTATCTCCTGTTAGAGTTGATGCTGCCTGAGTATCTTGGGAAAGTAAGAAAAATATGAAGAAGGTTAAATTATCTTTTTCTACCCTCAAAAAGAACTTCGCTTGTATGTGATACATTTCTATGCCTTGTACGCGATACATTTCTATGCCTTTTCTCATCTTGTTATATCTTCAATATTTTTCTCCCCCATATAAATTGTCATTTCACTTGAAAGTGTCTCTGTGATCTCCCTCCAATTTTCATCATATGGTCTAAACTATATTGCTATCCCTTCTGGAAGTATCTACATTGCCTTCCTTTACATCCATTCTTCTCACAATACAAGCTTTCCAATTCTATCCTCTCTGTCCTTGATTTATAAGTTAACTTCATTTATTTAATCTTTTCTTGATCGTTTTCTCATCATTAATCTCTTGCAATTGGGCTAGGATAAATATCTGCTTAATCTGATGGAAATATCTGAATCTAAATAATTTGAAAATGGTCTATTTTATTTTAGCATGTAAATTTTAATAGAATTTAACCACATAAATAAACGTCCATGTTTTACAATGTATAAAAAATAATAAAAACTTTAATTCTGGGGATTATAGCTTTACAGTTCTGATGGGTGCTGAGATCTGTAACATATGGTTACAATTCCGAGCAGCTCTTCTCTGTATCCAATAACCTGCCCCACTATGAAGATATTTATCAGTGATCATTTTCACATGAATTTTTATTTATTTAGTACTTTCCAATGAGGAAAATTCAAAGGCCACATGGATTTTCAAGTTTGTCCAGCTGTTGTCAACCCCAGGTACATGCTAGAAACCTCTAAGGAGTATCTAAAAATTAGTGGTTTCTGGGTTCCACCCCAGACCAATTCATTCAGAATCTCTGGAGTGAGTCCCAGGCATCAGTATCTTATAAAGGCTCCCCAGGGAAGACTAACACACAGCGAGAGTTAAGAACTG